TTTGGCAAAATGATGAGATTTTGCATGATGTGGAGGAGTCATCTAAAGCCCAACAACAGATGAAGAATTAGCATGACGAAGGGCGACGAGATGTGATCTTTAAGCCATGTGACTTGGTGTATTTGAAGCTGTAGCCATACTGACAAAGATCCTTGAAGAAGAGGTCCAATGTGAAGTCGTCATAGTAGTATTATGAGCCCTTCAAAGTATTATAGTGGGTTGGAGAGGTGACATATAAGTTGGAATTGCCAGACTTCTCTCTTTTGCACATAGTTTTTTATGTATCAGCGTTGAAGAAGAAAGTAAGGGATTCCAATTTGCTCGTGGGTAAATTACCTTCATTTGATAGCATGTAATTGGTTCTTAATGAGGTGCTTCTCTATCAGAGTTGGGTAAAGCTGCTCACTAGAGAGAGGGTGTGACAAGTGTTAGTGCATTGGAAGGGCTTAACGGAGGACAAGGCTACACGGAAGGACTATGATGAGCTCAAGGAGAGATTTCATGATCTTACACTTGAGGAAAAGTGGAGGCTCGAAGGATGGCAGAAGGATATAATTCCAGAGCCATTAGTGTGTATGAATGATCATGCTCGCGTGGTGCATAATTACAAGAAGCTACAAAATGAAGGAATCAGAGTCTTAATAGAATTTAATTTGATTACAAATATGATTTATTTTAGGAAGTAGCGAATTGTTTAGGCAAATAGGATTTGTTTAGGAAGTAGGGAATTGTTTAAAAGTAGGAACTTATTTACAACTATGATTTATTTAGGAAACCAAAACAGATGCTATTTAAGACCGGCTTGGTATAAGGGTTTTATTATCTTTTTTGTGACTGAAAATTTGAGAGAATTTTATCAATAAAATTAGGGTTTCCTATTTTCAGAATTTCAGATTCTTTCTTGGTGTTCTTGGGCTACATACTATTAGCCTTCTTGTTTTGATGATGTTTAACAAACAATTTACAACTAATTTTGTTTGTCTAGTGTTTGTGTTTATCTATTTATTATAGAAAAACAACATGTTAGAGGATGGATGGAATCGAGCATTCGCGATCATATCCAATGGAGGTTGGCGGAATAGTGGTTGAAGCCTATGCAATTCAAGTTCAAGATCCAAGTTCAAGCTTCATCCGCAAGTTTACCAAAAAGAGCTTATTGAAGATCAAGATCATTGCTTGGGTAAATAGTTTAGGTTTTATATTATGTGTGTTGATACTTTAAGCTCAATTATATACACACATACATATTTTGGTTTTATAGCTTTCAACTTTATATAAATATGAAACATATATACTTGTTTATACACATTTCATATTTATCGATTTTTTTAGCCATATATATATGAAACAAATGGATATAACTATATGTATACACGTATTTGTTTCATATCTATACATGCAAATAAACATGATTTCATTTATGGATTAAAGACGTTTATTTGAAAAATTATGTGTTTATGGATTAAAGACTTGTTTACAATATTTTATATCTTTTCCTAAGTCTATTAATCCATTCAAAAGGATTTACAAACTTGTTTGAAATTGTTTTTGTCAAAATCAAGTATTGATGATTTCGTATTCTTAAATAGTTTACAAAATAATTTATATTTAACAAATGGGAAAAGTAATTTTAAAAATTCTTTTTGTAACATGTTCTATTACATGTTTATAATCATTTTCCAAAATTTTATTATTTTTGGAGTTGGTTTACTATACCGAATTGATTTTACAAAATCAAGTGTTTCAGCAGTTTTTAGAATCTGGAATATCTGTTTTAAAATATTTATTTCTCACAAATGGGAAGTGATATTTCAGAAATTATTTTTTTAACATGTTTATATACATGTCTAGAAACATCCCACAAAAGTTCATGATTTTTGGAGTTGATTTACTATTTTAATTGATTTTACAAAGTCAGATACACAAATTTCCAGAATGCTGGATTTTGGGGTATTTTGGTCTTTTCAGCCTATAACGGCTAGTAACGGCTAGTTTTTGATATTTTTAGTTTTTGGGGGTTTGTGGCTGGTTTAAGAGGCTATAAAAAGCCCTCAACTTTTATTGTTTCTTATGGATGTTTAAGAGAGTTTTAAAACAAGTTTTACAAGTTTGTGAGAGTTTGTTTCAAGTTTTGAAGATTGTTTTAGTTTATGCAAAAAGAGGTTTACAAGAGGAGGAGATCATTTGTTTGGTGTTTGGGCTTCAATCTCATTCTCTGTCGCTCTTGATTCTTAGAGAAGTTTTTCTAAACTTATCTTCTAGCTTATTTATATTTTGATTCATACATATTTGTGCTAGATTGATTTAAGTTTAGTTGTTATATCTCATTGATTACACACACCCACTTGAGCGTAAGTATTTTCATACATAATATATTTAGAGTTGTAAGATTGTATTCTTTGAGAGTGAGCTTACATAGAGTTCTCATCCATTGTAGAGAACAAATCTTGTTGTTGAGCCTAATTGTGAGATACATTTTGTAATACACTTGTATACCGAAAGGAGTGTGTGGTGAGAGACGGGATCGTCCCAAGAGGAGTGAGGTAGGTGGTAATGCCTAGATGTAGGTTGTAATTCTTAACACTTAAGGGAGACACGGGCTAGAGACTAACACTTGAGAGGGTGTAAAGTGTGATTGCAAGAGTGTTGATCGTAAAGTTTTCGGTGAACTAGAAAACCGAGTGTGAGGTGTAAACGTTATTCGGGTGAGCGTAGAAAACCCGGTTGTGATAGTAGAGATCTCTTCGAGGTGAGGAGCAGGGACGTAGGTCGTGGGGACCAAACCTCATGAACATATCGTTTGTTTGTGATTGCATTTACGCATTTATTTTTTGTGTTTATCATTATATCGCCTTTGTCAATTGCTCATTGTTTATATTGCCTAATATCTTATTTATCTTGTTTATGATTATTTCACCATTGTGTTAGTTTATATATCCTTGCATATATTTTATCATATACCTCTTTGCTAGGATATATATCTCTTTGTTCATATCACTTATCCTTGCATATATCTTGTTGTATATCATACTTGCTAGGATAATTTATTAATAAGTTTTAATTGGCATTTAAATCGGATTAGATTAGCATAAACCCTATTCACCCCCACTCTAGGGTTCTTTCCTAGTGGTATTAGGGTCTAACACATACTTTCTTGATTTATCAGTGATTGCGTAAAGATTCTACCGCTTGATTTGTTGGTGCTGTAAAGTCAAGTTTGGGCTCCCATCAATCTCCACTGGTGAATGTGTCCGTTTTGCATCCCTAGTACAAGGGATGGAGCCGCATACATGAGCAAAAATAACCTAACCTGAAACTTTGCCTAAAACTTTCAGAAATAATTGTAAAAATAAATTCTACAAGATAAGACAATTCACAAAAATTGTGGCAGTAAAGGTTAGAAGTTGATTTTGGCATGGCCTTTGAATATTTCTTAGATATTAGTACATGAATAATAATCAATTATATAAGTCCAAATGCATCCATCAAAATCTATACTATTCTCACAAACATTACCTGGAAGATATGGCAAGATTATGAGAATATGGATTAAAACAATATAGTACATGGAAAAGTAGGATCATTGAATCTGTTAAAATGTATATAATTACTACTTTCTTTACATTCACATTTCAAGGTCTATAAATTAATCAAGGACGAGCGAAAATATACATGTCAAAATTATGAGCCCAATGAATCATAAGATAGGAAGAAGAATGACTATGTGATTGATGGTGGCATGCTCATACTTGAGGTTAAGTTCAACATTGAGGATGAAGAACCGATCCCATTCAAAATTCCTTGCATAAGGGATCCACCAGGTGAAAGATAATTTATTAACTTAAGTTCTTTTGTTATTTCTTTGTTTTTTGTTTGTGCAAATAGTTCAGTTTTACTGATTTATTTTCTCTTTTGGATATTTTAGTTTTTAATGCCTAAAGAAATCAATTTCCAGAAATGAGCAACCCTAAAAAATTACCAGTTGTAAAAAATTATATTAATGTATCATGTACTATCTACTAAAAAGTCAGTGAACTTTGGTTGTATAGGAAAAAAGATGAGGATCTTTACACAAGGGAGAAAGTTTTATCTTTTTTTCAGTCTTCTTCGAAGTAACTTCTTATGGTATCTAGTTATCTATATCATGCTAGATCTGCTGCAATTTATTATTGAATTAGGTCGTGTAGCTTCTTCCCTTAATTTTCTTTTAATGTAGTTTTAGACTATCAATTATATGTTTATTCTCGTTGAAGGAAATAACACTTATGTGGGTTGCATATTTAAAATAGAAACTATTCAATAGCATATCTCCTCTGAGGTTCTCTCCTCACGCTTCATTTTCGTCAAAGGTATTAATTTATATATCAGTGCAAAATAAGCATAAAAGAAGCATTTGTGGATTATAAAAAAAAATTGATACGAATCTAATTAACAGCCCCTCTGAATATTGTAGGTGTGATCTTTTATGGATCCATGGGCAGAAAAAGAATTTCTTCCTGATAATATGGACAAAGAGCTGCTTGCAACCCAAATAAGCCCTTTTGCAGGTAATTTATCCCTTAACTTCACGCATCATGATCAATTTTAACTTCATTCAGTTAAATATTTGCTGACAAGTATTTACTTTACAGTATTATGCAATTTGAATCAACATCAAAGACAGTGAAGATGGAGGATCTCATGACCTAAAAAATAAACACGAAACAAGCATCCAGTGAAGGAGCGAAATATAAAAAAATTTGAGCATAGGATGCGTACGATAGGATCGTTGTACCTATTATGTAAGTTATAGGTGGAAACTAAATGTAATAGGCAAACTAGAAATCATTATATATGTCATGCACATTGTATTATGTTGTGTGCGTCCCTATTGGATCCTTGGCTTAAATATCAAAGCTGATGGTACCATATGCAGAATGTGGTTACATTATGGTATTACTCTGCTTACGAAGTGAAGTCAGTAAAATGGCTGCGAAAGTCAAGTCGTATAAAGAAGTAAATCAAGCAGAATCATCATGTAACTCCATATTGAACCAACAAAAAACACTAGTTACACTGGTACACTACCAAAGTATGCATAGTACTATACAAACAATATATTCTGATCACCTTCATAGAATATAGCATCTAATTGTGACGGAGCATTTGTAACACAGCAATAGCAGCTTTCTGGAAACGCTCTTTTTCCTCTTCCAAAATCTTATTCTTGGCACTTTCGGACTGCCTGCACTTCTCTATCTCTCTCGATATCTCACCAGCACTTTGATTTATCTCACTGTAAATAGATATATCATCAGATAGATGGTTCCGCTAAAAGAAATAGAAGAGTGTGCTAAAACTGACTGATCCGTAAAGAATAGGGAAAAAACTGTGGGCTATCATTTTCTTGACATACAAATCATCTGAAGTTTATGTCAACAAATGTTATGTTATACAGAATAAAGTTTGGTGCACAAACAAGTGAACAATACACTTTCTTTTTGTGGAAAAAAATATATATGTGAAATGAAAGTAGGATTCAACAGTTGGCTTTAAGATACAATTTTAGTAGGTTTATATCACGATAAGTTGAGAACAATTTTATGATTAGCAGCTGCATTGACACACAAAAATTACTGAAAAGTAGGTCAGCTTACGGTCATGATTGTTTCTAATAAGCTAATTAATAGCAAATTGGTATAAATAGCAGTTGATAAAGTTCTCTTATCATATCATTTAATTAGTAAACATTGACGATTTATAACTGTATGAAAAGAATTCTAGAGATAGTATATTCTGATAAATGGTCAATCTAGCTAAACTAGAACTTCCAGAGAAGATGGTGGGAAAACACTGAGAGGACAGACCATACACAGTATCGATGAAACAAAAGGCTTTGTTTAAAATTGTAGAAGTCTATTTTCTAGTAAACAAAGACTAGAAGATTACTGCTACTGGTAAGATGGTTACCTAGTCATCTTCAGCATATTCTCTAAAGCAACTTGCACCTCCTGAGACACATCTGCAATTTATAAAGAAACTGTTAAATGTATGGTTTAGCATTTGACACGAAAGAAAGTGCTTTAGTCTTACTTAATTAGACGTGTAGAAATGAACTGAAGATCATTTATACACTTCATTCATGTTCTGGAGCAAAATGTCCAAATTACATGATTGCCTATGTTAATATCAAGTCCTGATGCTATAGCTTTCAGGGAATTTGTGATTCTAGCAATGAATGAGATAGACAACAAATAACTATATGTATAGCTGGCTTTGGTTCTCTCTTGTACTTCTGGGAGATATTTTTTGTATATTTTGTATTTTTGGCTTTTAAACCTTCTGTAGTATGTTAGACATCAGTATTTTAGTTCAAATTACTTCTGGGAGATATTTTTTGTATATTTTGTATTTTTGGCTTTTAAACCTTCTGTAGTATGTTAGACATCAGTATTTTAGTTCAAATTACTTCTGGGAGATATTTTTTGTATATTTTGTATTTTTGGCTTTTAAACCTTCTGTAGTATGTTAGACATCAGTATTTTAGTTCAAATAACTATATGTATAGCTGGCTTTGGTTCTCTCTTGTATCTATGTCAACGGTGAATGACGGCAAGGCCCTCTCTTCATCTTCATGGATCCTTGAGAGAAGAAGGTTATACATCCCTAGTTACTGTGAACTAATCTTACTGTTACCTAACATCAGGATACAATTCGTATCCAAACTTTTGTAATTAAACACTTTTATCTTTAATACATATGACAGGGTATATCCCTTGTTTTTTGATCAAAAAATGAGATAGACAACAGCACTGTTTGATCAGAAGACTTACATGGGGGCAACAAACAATACAAGTGACCTAAAACTTAACAGAGAAAATCTACGGGTTTATCCGTTTCAGAGAAAGAAAATACCTTATCCTACAGATCTTAGGTATCAACAGATCAGTAACAGTTACGTAGCTGGTGGTAAAAGTGTCATGATAACTGCCTTATAAATCGTGATTTTTTTACTAAATTGAAAAGCTTATAAATCGTGATCTTTTAATTAATTAAAAAGCTTAAGTAAACTATGTCATACATCAAAATGTTAACATCACAAACCGGAGGTTAAGTTGAATCCCTGTTATTTGATTCATGTTATTCAATTCATTCGGAGAGGAAACTGCTCCTGCATTTTACATTCTTTATTATTATTATTATTATTATTATTTTCCATTTGATCATTTTACATTCTTCAACGAACAATTTTTCACTGTAGACCCAAACCGATTTTTTATTACCAAAATTGACCAAATTTTTTTTAATTACCAAAATCGACCCGTTTTATGCCACGTAAGCGTAATCTCATTTCCTAATTAGTCGGGGTTGCCAACCCCGACTATTTAGGAGTTATTAAACCCCAATTAGAAGCCTTAAATATGATTTAATTAGGGTTTAACAACTCCTAAACAGTCGGGGTTGGCAACCCCGACTAATTAGGAAAGGAGATTATGCTTACGTGGCATAAAACGGGTCGATTTTGGTAATTAAAAAAAAAATCGGTCGATTTTGATAATAAAAACTCAGTTTGGGTCTACAGTGAAAAATTGTTCTTCTTCAACATGTAAATTCTCAAATCTTTGGTATAGCTAGACTAGAAAACATTCCCTTTGCAATGTAGCAAAATATTTAAACATAGCCATAGTTAATAGCGGGAAAACACGCCCCAAAACAAATATAGATGAATTTGTATGAAACTATAAGAAACAATTGGCACTACCAGTAACGATCAAGTGCAGCACATAGTAAAAGAATAATGGCTACTGTAAAAACAGTATGAAAATCATTTATACACGAAATTCATTTCACATAATTCCAAAAATATCATATGGAAACAATTAATCAGGACCAGTCTACAATTCTTACAACTTAATGCCTGTAACTGTAAATGCTGTAAAATATTAATATGTTACTTAGAAGCTTACTAACTTTGTACATTATAATCCACTTTATTAATAAGACGGGGGCAATCCATACCCTTTACCTCACAAAAAATATTTAGGAGCTTACTGACCATCAAAAATTTAAGAAGCTTTTAAGAAAAAACAGACAAAATTTGATCATTTCAAAAGCTAAAACCACCTTAACTGTACATAATCCGATCATTAACTAAGCAGAATCCATTTGATTTTGAAGTTTCAGAAAGATTTACTTTTAGCAAAAAAAAAAAAAAGTTCCACAAGATCGTGAGAAAATTTTAAGATCAAAGGACTCGATAATGCTTCTAGTCACAGAATCCATCAAACTCTATAAAAATCCAAAAGATTGACTAAATTTACCCGATCTACAGGCACAAAGTAGAAATCCTCTCTCTAACTGAAGAAAAACCTTCAGAAATCAAAAGTAATCCTAGACTCGTAGAAAATCCTCTCCCTAACCGGAAAAGGAATCCATTATCTTTACACACAATTTATGCAAACTAATTCCTCAAGATCACTAAATTTCTCAGATCTCATGAATAAACTGTCGATATCATCAACTGATCCTCAATTTTGTTTGCAAATCACAAGATTCGCTGAGATCGTTTGGCTCTATACTAATTCCATAACTATGAACAGAAAATAACCGATCTAATCAAATCCAAGATCAAAACCTAGGGTTTCTCAGGGGGGGAATCGTACCGTAGAGAAGAGCAGAGAGATGAGAATCGGCTTCGGCGATGGAATTAGCTTCAGATGGTGAAGAGGCAGCGATCATCTCCTTCGAATTCTCCATCTCGAGAGATCAGAGCGAGAGAAAAGGGGATCGAGCTCGAAAGGCTGGATCCTGCTCGAGAAGCTGGTCTTGGGCTCCCTACCCTTTTATAGGGAGGTCCGGACGCGGGAAAACATTTGGGGGTTCAATTGTCACTTTTGACCCAACCCCGTCCGTTGTCGATCTGGGTTTAGCTTTTGGGCCTGGGCTTTGGCTGAACCGACTTTGGGATTTGGAGTTAAAATATTTGGCGTTTTGAGACACTGATAATGACTTAAAGGACCCAAAATATGGGACCGTGAGGGGATAGTTGATGTGTCCTCCCTATTGCATAATAAGTTTGCAGGGACATGTGAGGTGTCCCATCTCTAACTCATTATGCAATAGGGAGGGGACACCTCACCTGTCCCCTCCATTGGTCTCATATTTTGGGTCCCCGTAACTGCACTCGTCCCACATTTCATCTATTTGGATGCCAGTCCCCTAAATCATCATATTTGGATATACATCTCCCTAACCTAATCTATTTGATGTAGGTCCTACAAATCATTATATTTGAATACACGCCCTCTTAATATAATATATATATTTAGATAAAATCTCCTAAATTACCATGTTTGGATATAGGTCCTCCAAAACTATTAAGTTCTTTTAAAACCGAGTTTTTTTTCCTCAAAAGATTAAAAAAGATAAAAAAGAATTAAAAATAATTATTTAGTTTTTTAGTATTTTGGGACACCTTTGGGGTTATAGCAGCCCCAACAGGCTTTTCTGATGGTTCAACAGTTATAACCATTATAACATGCTTTGCTCTAACGATTTCAACCGTTAAAGACTACTACCTTTTAGAGTAGTGGAAGTAGAATAAACCGAACTTAAATTCTTGTGCTAGTAAGCCATTGTGTGTACAGGCTAAAGAATAGACTGTACGACAAACATTGTTGTTCATGAAGTAATTGATACAATTTATTTTTGTTTAATTTGCAAAAAACAATAACCTAAGTTTTCCATTTTCAATGTGTTAGTACGTAGGACCAAATCACCCAAATACTCATGTATAAAATAAGAATATAATTGATGATAATGAGCCATAAGTGGAGAATTAACAAGCTCATTATGTGAATTAAATTAGGTTGTTATGTTTTTGGGGTGGAGATGAAAGAGAGAAAAGCCCATAAAAAGGAGTGCTTCATTTGTGTGAATATATACGGCAATTGAGAGTAGAAACCCCTTATAATGGAGCGCCAAAAGCCCCTACTCTCCCCCTAGTTCAAACATTGATATCGAGCAAAAAAATCCTCTCTCTTCTCTGTTACTAAACCAAAGCTAGGTCACGAGATCCACTCCTAAGGCAGAATCACTGAAGGAATGAAAGTCTATGGCCGAGAATAACAGCTTGCTTTTTCCCATTTTTTATTACATCTAGATTTAAAGTTATCCAAATGGATGTTAAAACAACATTCCTCAATAAATAGTTGAAGAAAGTGATATATATGCAGCAACATGAAGGTTTTCAGGTAAAAGGCCAGTAACATAAAGTTTACAAGTTCATAAAATCTCTGTATGGTTTAAAATACTCATTTAGACGGAGATATCTCAAGTTTCATATTGCAGTCACCAAACTTTGAATTTTTTTAGAAAAATTAGATAATTGTATATATGTTTTGAAAAGTGGGAGCAACTTATTATATTATCCTTATATGCGGATGATATATTGTTTGCTAGAAATACAATGGAAATGTTAAACAAAACTAAGTTAGATCTCAATGAAAAGTTTGAGATGAAAGACATAAGAAATGCATCATATATTCTTGGAATTTAAATAATTCGAGATAGAAAATCTAGAATGTTGAGTTTAAACCAAGAACAATACTTAAGATTAGTTTTAAAAGGTTTAGAACGAATAATTCCAATCTAGCACTAACTCTGTTGGTCATGAAAAAAAGATGGTATAAAGAGCAAAACCCTAGATAGGGGTAGAAGCCATTTGATATTCCTCATGCTCAAGCAGTCGGAAGCTTGATGTATGTCATGTTGTGTACTAGACAGTATATCGAGACATATTGACTCATAGATTGGTTTATCAAACGAGTTCGTTTGAAGTCCTCGGTTACTCCGATACTGATTTTAGAGGTGATAAAGATAATGAAAAGTCTTGTTAATCTTTAGAGGATGAGCTATTTATTGGAGTAGAAAAAACAAGGGTGTGTTGCTAGATATACACAAGAAGCATAATATGTAGTTTGCAGTATGGCAACTGCATAGGCTATCAAAATAAGATATTTTTTTTATTGATCTAGAGCTCAATTTGGTAGAAGGACGTATTGACATTTATTGTGATAATCAGGCAGCGATTAATCTGATCAATAGCGGATCAAATAGTTTTAAAGAAAAACACATTGAGATCTAGTATTGCCATATTTGAGATATTGTAGAAAAAGGAGAAGTGAAAGTAACTTACATCCTATTATAGTTATGATTACTGATTCTTTAACCAAGGAAATACAAGCGATATCTTATATCAAACATATGTGTTTAATGGGACTTAAGAATCCATAAGTCAAATGAAAATTTCATGAATAATGAAATAAGAAATACTCATCACGAATAGTGCGAGTGAGAATAAAATATTTGATCGCACGGGTGGTGAGAGACATATCATTTAGTTAATTTGGACAAGTGGGAAATGTTAGTAGGTTAACCAAATCAACAAAATACCCATGTGTAAAATAAGAATATAATGAGTGATAATGGGCCATTAATGGAGAATTACTATGTTCATTATGTGAATTAAATTAGGGTTGTAAATAACTTTAATTTTTAGTTAAGGAGATTTATTTAGGCTATTATTTGTTTAGGGTGGAGATGAAGGAGACTAAAGCCTTTAAAAATGAGTGTTTTCTTAGCGAATGTACACTCGAATTGAGAATATAGACCAGAGAGTCAAAAAGAGCATATTCTCTCACTAGTTCAAATACAACCAATACTACATATAAAAAGGATTGGGGTGTTAAAACTTTTAATTTCCTCTTTTACCCTTCCAAAATTTAATAATTCACAATAATCCCTTGAAATTTATTGAATTCATTCTATTTATTACACAAATTATTCTTGAATAAACTTTAGAACTAATACTAAAAACTAAATATATATTATAAATTTTAATCATAAATTTTATTTAATACATTTTATTTATTACACTATAATTATTCTTGCACAAAACATAAGAACTGATATATTATAACTTTTAACCATATTAGTGCTATGTTAAATAAGATAAATATTTCACTTTAGATATTGGATATTACACAATAAATATGCAATTTTAATATATGAGATAATAATATCATAACTTATATTTATAAATTATATCATAATTTATGATAATTAAATATTTAATTAAACATTTAACATCTAATCCAATACTATAATATATTGATATGTGCATTTGATGTGTAAAAAAATCCATGGAGAGGAATACTGATATAAATATTAACCTCTTGGTGTAGTCTAGAAATAACATATAAATTATCATAATATATATATAGTATTAACCGTTGCAATATACTTATCATAGTATTTGGATATGAGGTAATTCTAAGCATGCAGAATTCTAAATAGTGTGAGAAGCTATTACATTGCTCTTAACACTGGATGTGGAAAGATAATTTTTAAAGAAGACATGGATGCGGTAATTAAAGATATCCATAATAGGCTGGAGCAACAATCGATTTTTAGACACTTTGTGGATGATATTCAGCGATGTTGCACATGACTCGAGGAATGATATTTTTAGGTAGATCGTCAAATGGAGAATACAATGGCTCATGTGTAGATTCGAAGAGCTAAGAAAATTAATAATTTTATAGTATTGCTTGAAGACTCACCATCATTTTTACATAATGTTTTATAGTCTGATAAGGAGCGGCATTAATCCTCATTCTTTTGCTGTACTTCTGGGTTTTTCAGTTTAGTTTTGATGTATCTTAATATTTTTTTCATGAAAAAACTATTGTAATACAATAATTGAATCATAACTAATAAAGTAATTTATGACATCTCCCATGTTGGCATTTTCTTTTGATGATGATTTAACAAACAATTTATGACTAATATTATTTGTAGTATTTTGTTTTGTGTTGTTTAGTATACACATGAAAATGAGCTACATTGATGTTGAAGCCTATGAAAATCAAGTCAAACAATCAAGTTCAAGCTTCATATAACTCACTCTTGGTATACTTAGTATAGGTTTATATGTATTGTGTGCAATTCTTTAAGCTCAATATACACACATATGTATTTATGATTTTCTCAAAACATAGGTACTTGTAGGCTATCTAAAAATCACAACAGATAGCCAATCCTCATCAAACACCAATGATAGAAGTTACAATCTGACGACTTCCAGAAGGTTACAATTTGAAGACTTTCACGTAAATCGAGGAAGGTTACAATCTAACGACCTTCGCAACAACTGATGAAAGCTCTAATCAATAGCCTTCACAATCAACATCAGGAGTTACAATCTGACGACTCTCATATTTTTAAGGAGCCAAGATGAAGGTTACAAGGTGACGATCTTTACAAACGCTCTAGCGAAAGAGACTACAAATCGACGGTCTCTTCGTATTAAAACGCATATATCTCTCAAACCGTAAGGAATTTGGCAAAACTGGCAGAGCAAACCAAAGCCTATGGGGTAGGTTTGGTCAGCTCTGTCTCGTCGAGATAGCCGATTTTTATATATAATTCGTCTAATTCCGACTTACAGTTTGAAAGTTATGACCTGTTCTTCGCAGCAAGTTATGTTCTGAAGTCCGTCTGTAAGACTGGACTTCGTCTGAACATCGGACTTAGGCTAAAGTTCAACGAGCCCGCCTAAGGCTCACCTCTGCATCCAAGATTCAAAATGCAGAGGTCGTGCCCGTGTTCTAAACTCAAAACGCAGAGGTCGTGGCTACGTTCCAGATCCAAAACGCAGAGGTCATGGCTACGTTCCAAACTCAAAACGCAGAGGTCGTGGCTGCGTTCCAAACTCGAAACACAGAGGTCGTGGCTATATTTCGGAGTTAAAACACAGAGTTCA